ATGACGACTCACCAATCTTCTTCTTCTTGATATGTAATCACTACAAGAAATTTCATTTTCAACGACCAATTCTTGTCCACAGAATATGAATTCGGTCGTTAATAATATATCTATAACGACAAAATAATTTTTTTGTTGTTAAAAGTTAATTTTTAATTAATTCTCAGCGACCAAATAATTTTCGGATGTTAAAAAAGTTAGTATCCGGTTGTTAATTAATAATCAAGAAGGGCCCTCTTTAATTATTTTATAAAACAATATCACACGTCTCTCTACATACCCCACTCCTCCCATCCGTTTGGAACAACAAACACTAATATTGTCAAATTTCTGGGTTTGTTCACTTTGTTGTTAGAGAAATCAGGGGAACGATCTACACAATCTACAGGTGAATCAGCTCTCACCTACAGTTAGAGAAAATTCAACAGCTTGGAGGATATGGTGCTTCTCTCTAGTTCTGTTAGAGGTTTGGGGATTCTCGATTTCCATCTTCCCACATTTTATCAGCCGTACGTCTCTCTCAGTTCAAAATAATGAGCTTTAGTTTGTTGGAGAAAAATTAGCAAGAAGATAAGATCCAAAGCTTGCGTTAATTTCTAGGTTTGTTGAGAAAAATTAGTCATGGGTTTCTTAGTTCCATCTATTAAAGGAAATCATGTATCTCTATTTTGATTGCAGAACACATTCTAATTTGTTGTAAAGAGAATCGTTCTTGTTTCTTACTTCTAGTCGGCTTATGGGTCTATTGGATGATTGAGTATTCTTCTCTTTGGGGTAAGTTTATGCTATTTTTACTTTGAATTGCTTTGTGGAATAATTAATTTTTCCAAATTCTGTAGTTTCCCTGATTTTTCAGTTTCCATTTAGGTTTATTTTTTCTCTTTTTAACTGAAAACATTTTTCTGCTTTATGCACTAGTGTAGTTCAGTCATATCCTTATTAATGTGTGAACTGAATCCTTTAATATTTCTGCATCCATGTTTTTTCGATTTCTTTTTGTATGGTTCAGGTCATAGAAAAACATAGTTGTCTCACTTCTTCTTTTGATAAAGTAAAGGATAAAACTGTGTCAATTATAATATGATTTGTTTGTACAGACTAGAGTTAACTTCTTTCTCTAGCTCTTAACAAATATTTATTTAGCTTATTCTTGCTCGACTTAACGTGTAACCTAATTGTGATTCACTGCATCCGAGTTCACCTTCAAAGTTGCCATTTTGACTAGTTTGTCGGCAAGCATCAATCTGAAAAAAGGATAGAGCTTGGACATTCTTTTAACTTTGTCTTATTTGACATTTGAATCTTGTCTAATCTCTATGGATAAGTGTGTCGTGATACTTGAAATAGAAATTTTCTTGATGCTATTGTTTCTTTGCAATGATGTCATCATATCTCTTCATTCATATGCCTCTCTTTGACAATGATGTACTCGATATTTGCTTGAGATAGAATCTATCTTGTCTTATAACTTTATTATGTAGGTGCCAAGGAGCTAAAAATTGACTTTTAGAAGAATCAAAATCACCTAGAGTTTGAAATATGTTTGCATAGTATGTACTGAAGATCCATTATGGAATCATTCTCTAGTTCAATAGCTATCTATCATAAGAAGTCTGTCCTGTAGCTATCTGTGTCTTTTTGAAGTTTGCTATTACTTGAAAGCCAAATAACAAAATATATAAATCAACCCATCATTACATATTTTGGCTATTCATTTTACAAGGCAACAAAATTGATAACCATTTCATTTTTTTTTGCTCTGTACATAAGTTTAGTATTTTTGAATGAAAATAGGGAAGGCAACAAGAAAGTTATTAATCTCTAGCCTTAACTTTAATTATCAGTCCTTGTCTCTGTAAAATCTAGTCATAGGTCACTATGTATATCCTTGCAATAACTATTCCCTGAATATGCTTGCCTCTGCTTAGAATTGGTTCATGTATTAACTGGTTTTAGGATTCTCTAAGACAACCAAATCACTTCTTAGTAGATGGTTATTGTTTTCCTTATCTGATGCATAGTGGATTCTCAAAGACGACCACAATTATAACTTATATTGTCGTGTTAAATTGACAGCTTCTCTTCATACTGCTCATCTTCACCTTGCTGCGACTAATAATCTGGAAACATTCTTGAAGGTAAGTTTGGATTCTTATAACTATGAATTTGTTTGTGAAATGCCTCATTTTTCTCAAATCTGAACTTGTATTGTATGATTCCATATCAGTTTCTTTTTTCTATTTTTTGTGTCTGTGGAATTGAGCATATTAGTGGTAAGCATATATGTTGAATGTACTATTGTGAGAACTCTTGTTAGTATACTTGATTGAAAATAAAATGATGTGAGATAATGATTGTTGTTATAGAAAAGTGATTTGCATCTCATTCTGTAAAGAATGGACTGCAACTGAAACTTGGAAGCAAGTTGTTGTTTATTGACTTGACAAGCAGTAGGAAATAGGAAGAAAAATGGATTATCTTCATAATAAAGAATGGATTCTCTTAGACAACCACATTAGTTCTTAATAGATGGTTATTGTTTTGCTTTTTTGATGCATAGTGGATTCTCTAAGACAACCACAGTTATAACTTATATTGTCGTGTTAAATTGACAGCTTCTCTTCATACTGCTCATCTTCACCTTGCTGCGACTAATAATCTGGAAACATTCTTGAAGGTAAGTTTGGATGCTTATAACTATGAATTTATTTGTGAAATGCCTCTTTTTTCTCAAATCTGAACTTGTACTGTATGATTACATATCAGTTTTTTTTTCTGTTTTGGTGTTTGTGTGGTTGAGCATATTAGTAGTAAGCATATATATATGTTGAATGCCCTAATGTGAGAACTCTTGTTAGTATACTTGATTGAAAATAAAATGAGGTGAGATGATGACTGTTATTGTAGAAAAGTGATTTGCATCTCATTCTGTAAAGAATGGACTGCAACTGAATCTTGGAAGCAAGTTGTTGTTTTTATTGACTTGAATAGCAGTAGGAAATAGGAAGAAAAATTCTCGTTTAAGTGCACTAATACCACATGTTAAATAACTGCCAAGTGAATAAGTATATTTCAAATAACACTATTCATTCTTTGTGCATGTAGTTTGTTTTTTTCCCATTCTATGATGAAGTCCTTCTGCTTAAACAAGACTATTTTTTCATCTTTTCCATTTATCCTTAACTTGTCTCCTACTGTCTTGATTATATTTCCACATTAATGAAATGAAATAGGCCTGCTTCTAGTTGGATTAATGTGAAAATGTGTGCCTATTATTTTGTCTCTTGCGATAGCTTTTGTGAATGGAAACTAATATAGTGTTTCAAGAGATTTTGGAGTATGAAAGTTCATTCTAAAAATTAAAAAGAGAGCTGAAAGATTGCTGCAAAAATGAATACAATGTAATCTTTTAGGACTGAAAGGTTTAGTGTAAGTAAATACACTGTATACAAGAAAAGTTAGATAGACAACATGATTTGAATCTGATTTGTCTAAGTTGTTTACTGATTTAAATATTGAGTTGATGTTATACATTAAGGTATGTTTGGGGTACACATAGGTGTGTTAGATACATTGATTTTTTTAGGAGAAAACTAATTCAGTTAGTACTATACTTGCTTTTGCTAGCTTGATGACTTAAACCTTAAAAAAAAAAATTACACAAGAGTACATATATACTCACTGTTTGATTAATTGAACATTAGAACAAAAAGATAGTAACATTAAATAAACATAGTATTAAATTTTATTCAAAACAAAATTTTAGTTCTTACTCTTTTTTGTTGTTATACTAATATGATTGTTATATATTTTTCGTGATTCAAGACTATGGCACCTAATAAAGAATGGATGCAACTTTTTGATGATCGACTTGATAATGCTTATGTGCTTGGGGTGGAGAAAATTTTGAATTATTCTTTTACAAAGTTAGGAGAAAAACAAAAAATACGTTGTCCATGTATGAAATGTTGTAATGCATCTTCAAGAACTCGTGAGATGGTTAGGTCACATTTATTGGTACATGGAATTGTCCGAAGTTATACTTTTTGGTATCATCATGGGGAGAGGTTACATGAACCAGAATCAGATTCTGAATTTGTAGACAATAATGACATTGAAAGGGATGATGAGGAGGATGAAATACATGAGATTTTAGGGGATTTATATCCTAATTTGAATGAAGTCATTATGAACATAGGTGGTGATGATTTTATTGAGGAGGAAGCAAAACAATTTTACAGTCATTTAAAAGATTTTGAGCAACCAATCTATGAAGGTTCCAAAGATTCTAAACTTTCTACTTTGGTCAAATTACTTCATATAAAAAGTATTGGTAAATGGAGTAATGCGTCATTTACAATGTTGTTGAAGATGTTGAAGGAAGGTGGATCAAATTTGCCAACTTCATATTACAATGCAAAAAAGATAATTTGGGAGCTTGGATTTTCTTACCAGAAAATTGATGCATGTAAGAATAATTGCACGTTGTATTGGAAGGATGATGCGCTTCTTGAATCTTGCAAAGTATGTGGAACATCTAGATGGAAGGAGGATAAACGTAATAGGGAAACAAAACTTAAGCATGGGAAAAAGATACCATGCAAGATTTTGCGTTATTTTCCTCTAAAGCCAAGACTTGAAAGACTGTTTATGTCTTCAAAAACATCTTCTTTGATGAGGTGGCATCATGATGAGAGAATTAATGATGGAATAATGAAGCATCCCGCTGATTCAGTAGCTTGGAAGACACTGGATGAACTTCACCCATCTTTTGCTATTGAACCACGTAAGGTTCTACTTGGACTTGCTAGTGATGGTTTTCAACCTTTTAAAAGTACAAAAACTCCACATAGCATTTGGCCGGTGGTATTGATTCCTTATAACTTACCACCTTGGTTATGCATGAAGCAAGAAAATTTTATTTTATCGATGCTTATTCTAGGCCCTGAAAGTCCCGAGATACATTTGATGTTTATCTCCAACCTTTGATAGAAGAATTAATGGAATTGTGGGAAACTGGTGTGAAGACCTTTGATGCATCATCTAGACAAAATTTTATGTTACATGCATCTTTGTTATGGACCATTAATGACTTTCCTGCATATGCAAATTTGTCAAGATGGAGTACCAAAGGAAAATTGGCTTGCCCATGTTGTAATAAAGAAACTCTTTCAATTTGGTTGAAAAATGGGAATAAACAGTGTTATATGCGCCATAGACGCTTTCTTCCTCGTAATCACAAATGGAGGAATGATAAAAATTCTTTTGATGGCACTAAAGAGCATAAATTACCACCAAAAATGCTATCTGGTAATGATATACTTGATCAAGTGGCTGATTTAGATGTTAACATACAATCAAAGGATCCAAAGAAAAAGACTAAAATATCACATGGTAATAGGGTTGATAATTGGAACAAGAAGAGCATTTTCTTTGATCTTCCATATTGGAAAACTCTATTGTTGCGACATAACTTAGATGTGATGCACATTGAGAAAAATATATATGATAACATTTTGGGAACAATATTAAATGTCAAAGGAAAAACCAAAGATACCATAAATTCTCGATTGGATTTGGAAGTAATAGACATCAAGAAAGAATTGCATCCGATAAAAAAAGGGGATAAATATGAGTTACCAACTGCATGTTACACATTATCTCCTGAAGAGAAGCATAAATTTTTCAATTTCTTGAAGAATTTGAAGGTCCCAGATGGATTTTCATCCAATATATCTCAGTGTGTCAATCTTAAAGATCGCAAACTTTCAAGATTGAAAAGTCATGATTACCACGTTATTCTGCAACATCTACTCCCACTTGCAATACGTGGTATGCTTTGCAAATCTGTACTTGAACCACTTATTGAGTTGTCTATATTTTTCAACATGCTCGGAGCAAAATGTTTGAGAGTAGATGAGCTAGAGAAAATAGAAGCCCAAATTCCTATAACTCTATGCAAGTTAGAAAAGGTCTTCATTCCTGCATTTTTTGATATCATGGTTCACCTGCCAATTCATTTAGCTAATGAACCTAAGATTGCTGGACCTATTCAATATCGATGGATGTATCTAGTGGAGCGATGGTTATACTTCTTAAAGTCTTTTATTCGTAATAGGACTCACCCAGAAGGCTCTATTGCAGAGGGATATATAGAAACTGAATGTATGACTTTATGTTCAAGGTATTTGCATACGGTGGAAACAAGATTTAATCGCACTGAGCGGAATTATGATGGCGATTCTATTGAATCTGATGGAGGTTTAACAATTTTTTCTCAACCTGGAAAAACTTCAAATTGTGCCACACCAGAAAGTCTTGAATCAGACGAATTTGAGCAGCCACACTTTTATATTCTAAAGAATTGTGATGAAATTCAACCATTTCTTGAGTAAGTAATAACTAATTCAAATAATTGACTTTTACCTTTCCACATTTCCATACTTAAAATGACATATTATAATTTAAATTCTTTGTAGAGAATTTTCACAAGTTCCATTTGATACCTCTAAGAATGATTCAGAGATCGAATGGAATAGTCAATTCATTAGTTGGTTACAGATTAAGGTGAGTAGTTAAGATTTTATATTTTAAATTAATTTGCGAATAGCATTTGCTAAATTGTGTATACATACTTGGTTTGATAGGTTGCAGAATTGCGCAAACATGATGATAGTAAGCAAATAGAAGATTTGTTCTCACCGTCACGTGGTCCTCTGCATATGTGACAAGTTTCAAAAGCTATGTTGCTAATGGATATAGATTTCACGTGCAAGACCATGATAAAGGCTTGAGAACTCAAAATTGCAGGGTGATTGTAGTTGGTGAGACTGATGAAGAGAATAAAACTATTGATTACTATGGAGAGTTAACTGAAATTCTTGAATTACAATTTGTTGGTGGAAGAAGAGTGATGTTTCGATGTGCATGGTTTGATGTGTATGACCAAGAAAGGGGAATTAAAGTAGATGAATATGGCTTCGTAAGTGTTAACCGAAAACGATTATTGAAAGTAAATGAGCCTTTTGTATTAGCCAACCAAGCATCACAAGTATTTTATGTTGACGATCTTTCGAATAAAGGATGGCATGTTGTGCGAAAGGTTCAACCTTGTGATTCTTTTGATATTGGTGAAAACAATGATGGTGATTTAGATAATCTGTTAGAAATCTAGGAAGTTGTTGGGTATGGAAGAGTTAGTTGAAGCAATTACAAGGATGGTTGTTAGTCTCTCATAATAATATAATGGATTGATGGAATTTATTGATTTTATAAGTTTCACTTTATGATTTTCATTTTAGGATATTATATTTTGTTACTGTGTACTCATGTTAGACTTTTGAGTTCTCATTTTGTTACTATGGTGTTTATTGGATCCCAAAATACTCTTTGTTGTTTTGTTTTCTCTTTTCAAGTATTTACTTCATGATTTTTTGATTGATTCTTACATATGATTCTATATTAAAGTATTTTCTTTACTGTTCTCTTACTGATTTTTACAGATTTGTTCTTAGTGTCTGTTTAGATAATAATTCTTGTATAGTATTTAGCAAGGTGTAGATCATCTCTTAGAGAATGTTGAAAGGTGGTCATTAATTGACTCACAACTTACATGAACAGAAGCCCTTGATTCCTCTAGAAAATATGTTTTTAGGTAAGTTTTTAAGAAACAAAACCTCATGAAAACTTATTACTAGAATTGAATTAGTTATTTTGTTATGGTGTTGTCTTGTGCGGTTCAGCTGCCACAAAGTACCTATAGTTTTGCCAATAAGATAACATGAATCAAGTATGATAGTTTAGATGAGTTTTAACCTCACTTTAAGTACTCTCCTGTATATGGTGGACTTGTTGGAGTAAAAGAAACAAAAGGCAATACTCCAGAATCAGTACAAAAGATTAAATGGTACTGCATGAGAACATTCTGTTTTTTTGTGTAAAGAGGATAGTACAGATGATGCAGATTTTAGATTTTTTTTACTTCTTTACAGTTCAAGCCTAGACTTTCAGTTTTTTAGTCATTGATGTAAATCTTTTTGGTGGTTGCCAGCACAACTTTACCTTTTTTAAAAGAAAAAAGAACATAGTTGTTGTTAAGTACTATACCTTGTCACTTGGAAGTAACATGATTTAAGTGAAGCCATGTTGAAAATTTAGCCTTGGCACAATTAATATGTGAGCTGATAGAGTGTAACCGGCCGTATTATGCATATGCTTATTCTATTCTTGTGATACTTGACATAGCCTTATAGTATAGGTGAGGAACCATGTTTCTTATATGATTAGCGTTGGTTTAAACTAGCTCGAAAGGTGATGTGATGCCTTGCACGTTGCAACATGTGTAATGCATGTTATAACTCCAACGGAAGTATTTAAACTCGAGACGGGAAGGTGGTAATTGAGCTTAAAGTTGGAAGTTAAGTGCTAAGTTAAAGAAAAAAATATTAATAATTAGAGAATGGAATAAAATAGGTGAGCTGCTTGCTTGACTTAACTAAGCTAGTAGGTGACAAGTAGGTGCATCACCTACTTTGACTTATTGACCAGTCCAAAGAACCAAGTAGGTGCATCACCTACTTGAGCTATATGGATCTAGTTAAAAAGACCAAAGTTTATGGATCAGATTTGGGCCTATGCTAATGGACTCACTTGAGGCCCAAACTATATTAAATAAAACAAAATGAAATTAAAGCCCAGCAGCCAAATCTGCCAAGGCCCAATATATTTAAGCCCAAGTGAAAGCTAGTAGGTGCATCACCTAATTTGACCTTTTGAGCTGCTTGATATACATAAGCAGGTGCATCACCCACTTGACCAATTAATGGCTGAAAATGAAGATTTCTAGTAGATATTCTTAAAGGTGAAGAAAGCTCAATATAAAGATATATTGGCTGCTATTCTCACTCATTTTAACACACATTATTAAGGATTAGCTCCAGCTCTTTCTCTCTCTTTTCTCTTAAGGATTAAACAACAACCTTAAAGTTCTTCTAGGGTTCTTGAAGAAACCCTCATCTCTGCAAGACAAGGTAAGTGAAAACACTTATGGATTTAGCTTAATTCTCCCATGGATGAATAGGAAAACATGTTATTCATGCTCAAGTATAAATATAAAGGCATAATATTTCTAGATGCTACTGCTCATTTCCTTGGTTATTAAGATACTTTTCTATTCTTCTTTGGTTTAAGTGTGAAGGGAAGTTGAAGTTCTAGAGGAATTCAAGTTATAAGGAGAAGTTGCAGAAATTGAGGTAAGGTGACTGCTCCATTTTCTTCCTCCTTATGTATGAGTTTGAGTGAGGAATTATGGGTGTGTTGTCATAAAGAACTCGAGGGGGTGGTGAGTTCAATAATTGGTTGTATGATAAATAATACTTGAGGCTGTTTTATGTGTATTGTTGTTGGTGCAGTTTGGGTAATCTTGGAAAAGGATATATAATGTATGTATTGGGCAGAGAAGGAGGGTGTGGTGATACACATTGTTTTAAGGGCTGTATGGGCCCATTATCCGTCAAAGTTAGCTACTATTTTACGAGGCTCACGGTGTGATAGCTGCTAATTTAAATTTATCATGACTTGTATTGTAGATTAAAACCTGAAAGGGGAGGCTGAATCGTGATAGTTGTATTGATCAGAAGATAAGGTATGTAAGGCTATTCGATTCAATATTCTTCGGCATGAAATCTGATACTTGAGATTAATATCAATAAGTGAATTTCCTAAGTTCTATTCCTAGTAAAGGAAACATAGCGGCAGCGTATGATCTCCAAATAGCTAACAATATTGAGAGGTAAGGAATGAAATCTTATTTTCGGTAAAAATTATAGGAATTGTTTTATGGTTACAAAAATTTTCATATAGTGTTCAAGGTATTTTATTAATTTTGATTTTAATTGATCTATTTTTCTCTTTGTGGTCTGCCTTTGTTTTACAGCTTCTTTGGATAAATAAACGATCTCCGTCTAAAATTCAACTAACTCTTCCTTTAACTTGCACATCATTTAAATTTTTGTTCCCTTTCTGTTTACACTTCTTGAAAAGCAGACTGATACTTATCACCAAAAAATGAGCAGTGCTTAGTAAAGTAGAAATCATTAGCTGTCAATTGTTCATAGTCAGCAGTGGAAGAGGGGGTAGCTTTGATTGCTCAAGTTGCCCATTTTCGGGTTCATTTTCTCCTCAAGAGATATATCTCAAGTTTGACATACGTATTTCAGCATCAATAACCTCTTTTTTCAGTATTTACTCATCATAATAATGGAAATAAAGACATTGTACGTAATAGTTTTATCATTGAAATAAAAAGCCTCAACCAAAAAGTCAACTAATGCCTTATGAAATTCACTAATTTGGAATAAAATCAAGGACCTCGCTTTATGTGTGTTATCAATATGTCATATGTGTGATTCGGTAAGACCTAAGGAATGTCTAACAATGATGAGAGAAAAATGTACAAGAGATACAGTTTCTAATTAAATTAGCACTAACCAAGAATAGATTGCTATTTAAATTATTCGATTTATATGCCTCTTCCTGCATGAGTGCTTATTTGTCATATGTACATGAAAAACTTCATTTATAATGTGCCTCTTCCTGCACGAGTTCTTATTTGTCTAATGTCATTTTGTTATAGTTTCAGGTAATATAAAGGATGTACGCCCCTTATATACTTTGTTTGGCTGGAGTATCAAGTATGGTAAGACCTTTTATTTGCATAGACTTTCAGAAATCAATAAGTCGTACAATTTAACTTTAAGAACTAGATTAAAATTATTTTGATGAATGGTGGTTGACCTATACATGGAATATATCGAATTTTGCCTGAGGTTGCGACATATATATATATATATATATTGATCCTTTTCTATATTGTTCTTTCTTATGTTAATTGTTGAATGCTTAATCTATATTCTTTTATCTAAGGGTGATATTTCTATGTGAGATAAGTCTTTTGTTGAGTCGAGTTGAAGCAAAATTTTTTTTTATCAAAACATCTTGTGGATTTCCTAGAGACCTAGTTAAAAAATGTTGTGCTTGGCTTGTTCCCGGATATGAGGGATTATTCTCCTTCATTAGTAAGTCATGTTTGATCTGAAAAGTGTCTCATTGTAGAGGGCTAAACTAACTCTAAATATTTACAACAACTAAACTTCTTTCGCAGTGAAAAACGACCTTTCACATGCAGGGGAGCGGAAGAGGTCTACAGACTGATCTCATATTAATAATAGACCACTTGCACCTGCTGCCACGGGATCAAAGAGCTCAAGATATGAACCACTTTAGTATGGTAATACTTCACAACATCTCATACCAACTGTAAAGTAGTTAGCTCCACCTAATTTACAAACTCAATTGACCATGAACAAGGTCAATATGGACAATGTTGCTGGAATGTCATCTATCCAGAAATTTGGTTGATGGAAATAAAGTTTGGAAAATTTGGTTGAGCATGAATAGCTTAGTTGGGAAGAATATATTTTTTTGTGTTAGTTGGATGGGTGACCTTTCTTTCCTTCAGGCTAATGAACGTACATGTACGTATCAATTCTTTTACATTGATTTTGCATAATCTTGATTACTGTTCTAATTGTGAACAAATATATAAGATGGGCTTCTCATCAAAATAATATTGTATGATTTATAACTTCTATTGGTGAAATGAGTCGAGCCACTTCTAGGAGCTATATATGCTTTACCAAGGTGATCTTGAAAGGTTATTCTTTTTTCTGTTGGTGTATTTATTTAGTCTTAGTTGTTGTAATGATGTTTTAGAACTGATTGATATATATGGTAATGAATTAGTGGGTAGACGTTTAGGATTCCTCGTGGTCCTAGCTCATGAATATTTTAGAGAAAGAAAAATGGAAAAACACATTGTTTGTCTGCTATTATTTTTCTGTAATAATATAAAATTTTGATCAGGTATAGTTGTGCATTCTACTATGAAAAAGTTTGCTTCAAAATTAAGTTGGGCCCGTGCTGATGTCCATCTAGCATATTTAGAAATGAGACTTAGTATGTACGAACATGGTAATAACATGTTGTACAATAAGCTATGTCAAGTGTACTACAAAGTTGGCTTTATTTTATTGGACATCATTTTATTTGTTATTTTCCTGTTGACATGCGTATTTGCACTATCATTTCACCAATGCTCAAAACACTCACCAGCCA